ATACCGACAGGAAGTAGCGGAACGAGGGGGCGTGCAGTGTCTAGGAAGAGGGCTTGCGATGGGGAGGTTTTTGGGCTTATGGGGATGATTAGTGAGGATAGGGATGGCGAGGGAGGGGGTCATGGAATCAGGGGGGGGGGTACGCGTGAGGATGATATTGAATAGGTATAAGGTGTTGGGTAGGAGGGTTGAGGATGAGGGCGGATGGCGGGTGAGGGTTGGGAGGGTGAGGGAGGGTGGCTGGGAGTAGCGTTGGGAATCATGGCCGAAGAGGGGGGGGTCAGGTAGATGGGCAAGGAGGAACGGCGGATACTTGAGAAAGGTACGGATGCTTTGTACTAGGAGGGACGACGGGGGAGGAACAGGAAAAAGGAGGATTGATGAGGATGTCGGGGAGGGTCGAGGAATGTTGAGGATGGGGTTTGATGACGATGATGACGCTGAGGGGGCGGGCGGGAGGATGAGGACTAGCGACACTGAGCGCGAAGGTGGTGAGGCAATGAAGCAGGGCAGGAGGAACATGGATGATGATACCGCATGACTAACAGCAATAATATGATGACGCGTGTGAGGCAAATGCATCTGATTTTGGTGACGATGATGACAAGCATGCTGGCAGAGACTCAACATGGAAAAATGTCGCGCTTGTGTAGACTTTACCAGCACATTGCATTTGCTAAACTTACTTTGGGCTTCCTAGGATAAGCGCGCCCTGGGGCCGTGCGCGAGACGCGTGCGAACTGGGCCGCCCAGTGGGTCGCTGTTTAAAATTGGTCCGAATCGTTTAAACTGTTACATGTGCCGAGGGCCCCCCGTCATGCATATTGATTTCATTTTAAGTTAACATCCTGCTGACAAGACATTAACGCGCGCGTAATCACAAGGTAACGGCGCGTCGAAACGCAAGGATCGGTGTCAGAAAATTCCGCCAAGCAAATCACGTTCGCGTCTGACGCCACTGCAAGCGCATAGTCGCGCCGTGATGCTGCGCGCACTCTCGCGTCGTATCACGGCGCGACTATGCGCTTGCAGCGGTGTCAGACGCGAACGTGATCTGTTTGCGAAATCTTCTGGCACCTCACCTTGCGCTTCGTCGCGTCGGTATGGTGTGACTACGCGCGCGCGACAATGTCTTGTGCGCAGGATATTTAACTTAAAAAGAAATCAATTTGCATAACGAACCTCTCTCGGAACCTACAAAAGTTTAAACGGCGCGGAACAAGTTTAAACAACGACCCACTGGGCGGCCCAATTAGCACGCGCCTCGCGCACGGCCCCAGGGTGCGCTTATCCTAGGATTCCCAAAGACGCGTGCCTACCCAACCCAAGCACCCAGGCACCCGGGCACCCGGGCGCCCGGGCCTGGAATCGGCGGCGAACCCAGGCACCCGGGCACCCGGGCACCTGGGCGCTCGGGCCCGGCCGCCGAATCGGCGGCGAAACTCGCCTACCCTTCAATCCGTTAGGACCCCTGCAGAGGCAAGCTCTGATTGGGGAACCTGGTCCAGGACAATGCCAACATGCTACCTGCCAGGCTGCCGAGATGCGAGGAGAGAGACAGAGAGAGAGAGAGAGAGAGAGAGAGAAGAGAGAGAGAGAATAGTGAGAGAGAGAGAGAGAAAAATGGAGAGAGAGAGAGAGAGAGAGAGAGAGAGAGAGAGAGAGAGAGAGAGAGAGCGGATGCTGGGATTCGATGTCAGGTACACCGCCGCTGCCACGAAGGGCTCGACCTCGCAGCGCGCCCCCCTGGCGGAGGGCGCCCTCTCGCGGCCGCTGGCGCTGGCGCTGGCGGAGCTCGTGCATGTGGGCGAGCGCCGCGAGACCTGGGGCCAGTGCGGGGCCTTCGAGGGCGACGCGGGCCTCCCCGACGCGGGCGAGGCGAGGCGGCCGGCGCTGCATTTGTTCAGCCGCGTCGAGAAGGGCGGCTCGGACATCCGCCTGGACTGCGGCCTGCCCTGCAGACCAAGAGGGTGGCCGCGGAGCAGCTTGGCCCCGTTCGCGCGGCGCTGGCGCGCGGTCCTGAGCATGGCCTGGCCGCGCGGGCGACAGGCGCACATCGACGCGAGGGAGTTGCAGGCGGTGCTGGCCCCGCTGCGCTGGCGGTCGCGAAAGGCCTCAACCCACGGGTCGCGCTGGCTCCATCTCGTGGACAGCTAGGTCGTGGCGGCGATCGCCACGAAGGGCCGCAGCAGCAGCCGCCGATTGCAGCCGGCCCTGAAGCGCTGGATGGCGATGTGCATCGCGGCCGACATGTGCCCGCTGATCGGCGACGTGTTGTCGGGGGACAACCCAGCGGACGAGCCGCCCAGGAGTCTGTGGCGTGGGTTGCGGCCCGAGAGGCGCGGCGGAGGACCGCGTGTCGCTCTCGCGCGCAGGGCGCCGCTGCAGCGCTGAAGCGGCGCAGCCTGCGCGGGCAGACGCTGGCGTCGCTGCGGGTCGGTGCCGCGACCCGAGTGAGATGCGCCAGAGCGGTGCAGCGCCTCCTCGGGCACTTACGGGGTGAGCCCCCAGGAGGTCAGCGGCTTCGGCGTGGACGGCGAGGACGCCGACGGTCTCGTCGCCAACTGCCTGGAGGCGAAGTGGCGAGAGGGGGCAGGCATCGCGCTCGCCAGCAACACCGTGGCGGGCGTCTGCTTCGCGGTGCTCAGGCTACGGAGACGCCTGGATCTGTTGTGGGCGCTGCTGTAGGCGTGGCGACAGGCAGGGCCGGCAGCGAGAGCGTTGCCCTTCGCGCCCGAGATTGTCGGCGCCATAGCGGGCCTGGCGGCGGACGCAGCGGCCTTCGACGTCGGATGCCTGCTGCTCATCAGCTTTGAAGGCCTCCTGCGGGGATGGCGGGGCGTTCGCCTTGGCGACGGCAGACGTCTTGGTCCGGGGCGAGGTCATCGCGCTGCGGGTCAGCACGTCCAAGACGACGGCGGGCAAGGATGCCGCAGAGGCCGTCGTCATCCGCTCGCGAGTCGCCGATCGGACGCTGAGGCTCGTGGTCCGGCATCGGGTCCTCGGCGAGCCGCTCTCGTGGAGGTCGCCCGCGCAGTTGAGGAGCGCGCTGGCGGCGCTGACGCGCAGGCTGGGGCTGCCTGGGCCTTTCTCGTGGCATTCCTGCCGGCGTGGAGGCGCCTCCGACTTCTTCCTGAAGTCGTCCTCCATGGAGGCCGCGTTGGTGGCAGGCATGTGGGCGTCGAGCATGGCCGCCCGCATCTGCGTCGAGGGCGCCGTCGCCGACCTCGTCTGGGTGCGGCCGGGAGGCCGGGCCGCAGCGGCCGTGCGCCACGGATTGCGGCTCTGGAGGGCTTTCGCAGAGTTGTGAATACCTTGCCCACCGGTGCCCTTTTTGTCGTGCGAGCCGACCAGAACAGGGCGCCGGCCATATTGCAATTTGGATTGCAAGGTCTGCATGGTATCTTGGAGCTTCGCTCTCGTCTCATAATTAAAGGGTGGGGGTGGAGAGTTAAACAGCATTTTCATACGGCCTTTAGCCAGGGGAAGTAAGGATGGTATAGCGGTTTCCCCCCGATGTGTGCCCCCTCCTGTCCCTTGGCGTCCCTGCAAGGTGTCCCCGCGAGAGGCGCCCCCGCCCTGCGTGCGCGGTTGATCGGTGCTTTGCGCTTCCGTGCTTCCCCGGCCAGGTCCTGCAAAACGGGCCCGAGAGGAGCTTTCGGCGAGGCGCAGCTGCAGGGTCCGGGGGTGGAGCATCGGTCCGGGGTGGATCCTTGGCTTGGGTAGAGCCTCGGGCAGTGCTGGGCTCTCCATCGGCGCTAGGGGGGGAATCTGAGCTAAATGACGATTGGCGTGGTCACGTGTGGTACAAAAGTGGGTACGACTGTATACAGACGTGTATGGACATACCTATTAAACCACGTGAACACGCACGCCCTTTCCCCTCAGTTTCATAGCTGTTTTGGCTCCCGCCCAGTTACCACTCAGCCGAACATGTATTGTAGGGTCGCCGAGTCAATGCTGTGCCTGCGGTGCCGTAGCCCAAGCAGGTATAGCGGTTTCCCCCCGATGTGTGCCCCCTCCTGTCCCTTGGCGTCCCTGCGACGTGTCCCCGCGAGAGGCGCCCCCGCCCTGCGTGCGCGGTTGATCGGTGCTTTGCGCCTCCGTGCTTCCCCGGCCAGGGCCCGCAAAACGGGCCCGAGAGGAGTTTTCGGCATCTGCGGTCTTGGTGGAGCCTCGGACAATGCTGGGCTCTCCATCGGCGCTAGGGGGGGACTGAGCTAAGTGACGATTGGCGTGGCCACGCGTGGTACAACATAGGGTGTGTGTACATATATATATATATATATATGCATGTAATTGTATGCACGTATGCATGCGTGTATATATGTATGTATGTATATTGTATTACGTATGTATGTATGTAGGTATGCAGGCATACATGTCGGTATATAGGTATGTATGTATGTATGTATGTGTGGATATACGTATGTGTGTATGTATATATGCATGTATGTATGTAGACGTGTACACACGTATGCACGTGTGTTTGTTTGTGTATTTGCATGTGCATATTTATGTGTGTGAATGTATGTACGTACGTATGCATGTATGAATGTCGATATGCACGTATGCACATCTACGCATATCCATGTGCATGACTTTGTGTATATATATATATATGTATGTATGTATGGTTGTAAGTAGGTATGTACCTATGTATGTATGCCTGAGTATATATATATGTGTGTGTGCGTATGTGTTTTTGATGTGTGCATATGCGTACGTGCATATGTATGTGTGTATGCATGCATGCACGTATGTATGTATGTGTGTAGGTGTGTGTATGGTCGTAAGCATGTATGCGTGTATGTATGTATGCATGTATATCTGACTGTCTGTCTTTGCGTATGCATGCATGAATGCATGAGTGTATGTATGTTTGCATGTATGTATGTAGGTACGTGATTGTTTGTTTGTTTGTTTGTTTGTTTGTTTGTTTGTTTGTTTGTTTGTTTGTTTGTATGTTTGCGTGTGTGTTTGTGTGTGTGCGTGTGTTCGGTTCGGCTCGCCTCCCTGAGCATCGCGCTTGCAGGCAGGCGCGCGCCCCTAGGCTCAGCGTGGAGCCGCTGTCCGAGCCACGGCTCGGCTGGCCTCAGAGTCCCGCGCCGTGGGCGCAGTCCACGGCGCCCTCTGCTTCAGCTTTCGTTGCTCTTCTCTTCGACTCTTGCCCCTATGCGGGGTTCTGGGGCGCAATCCTTCCCTGCACGCGCAGCCGTTCGGCGGCTGCCGCCCATCGACAAGGCTCGGTGGTGACATCCTTTGAGCCCGTCCCGCTATCCGCCTCGCTGAGTTGGATTGGCCAGCCATGGAGTAGGAATGCTGTGTGATGTTTGAGATAACTTTTAGATTGTACATATTTGAAAGGAATAAAAAGTGTTTGAGTGTGCCTTCCTGGGCAGGCCAGGACGGCAGGAGGGCACGCACACCGACCCCAGACCCACGATGAACCCGGCCAGCACCGTGGCGAGGTAAATACAGCATGGCTCCCTCCCAGAGGGCGAAAACGAGAACACATCAGGAACATGACCCTCCGGCGGTCCGCGCGCCTTTTTCGGATAGGCACTGGGTCCCCCTCCCCGGCGCGCGGAGCGCGCCAGGGGCGGCGCCAGAAGGGCCGCCGGGGGCCTCGAGCGCCGATCCCAGGACTGATGTCTGTACACATTCCTGTTTCCTGGACCAGTCCGTGCGGACCTCCGACAGTTGATGTTTATGCTGCTCTCTGTTCCTTCAAGATCGGATATAGCCCTGACCCTGGGTAAGGGGAGTCGGTTATTGATTGGCCCCCGAAGCCCCAAGAATGAAACAGAACCAGCAGACCAGGTCTGCAATAGCATGCTTTTCTGGGTGGCGGCAGTTCGGGTTAGTGGAACAGGGCGGGGGGGCACCCCCCAGAACACGTCACCAAACCAGGTCCCACTACTCGGCGGCGGCAAGCAAGGGGGGGAAGTGAGAAGGAGAAGGCCTTCTCAGAAGCCCTCGAGCCTTTGAGGATTTTGCTGTGTCTTCGGGTCAGGCGCAGAAAACTTGGTCAGAAGGCCGGGGGGCTTTCGAGCTTTCCGAGAAGGCCCTCTCCTTCTCATTTCCCCCTTCGCTCGCCGCCGATCTTCGTTTCCAGAGAAGCACGACGGGAGTTTTTGGTTTGTTGTTGAATTCGCACTTCTTCCTGACAGTCATTCCGCATAATAAGGATGAACAACATTCCAAGGCTACCCTTACATCCTTGCCCCCTTCGACCCGTCCTCAGCGGCTTTCGCTGGCCAGCCTTGTTCGAGAAACGTTCACATGGCCCTCCAAGGGCCTTGAACCCTTACCGCGCATCCTTATGAGTCGGGCCGACTGTACCTGCCACGTCTGGTTGGCGCGTTCCCGCGCCAGTTACACCTGGTCTTGCCAACGATCGATTTGCGCCCCTTGCGCCTCGGCCCCCTCTCGTGCGCCGCCGTCGAGCGGGCAGTGGTTCGCGGGGCCGGGGGCCCTGTTCCCGCCGCTGGACACCCCCTGGCGCACGGAGGCCAACGCCAAGCAGCTGTGGGAGAGGTGCTCAGGCGGCGCAAACAGCACAGAGACACAAGGAATCGCCGATTCCCATGGGGATCTGGGAGGATGTGGGAAGTGGGGCGGGGGAAGGCGGGAATCAAGAACACATGAGAAAACATGGGGAATCCTGGGCCTTGTGTGCATTTTGTTTTGCGCGCCCCTGTAGCTCCCGTCAGGTGCGAGGGCCTCGTGGCGGCCGCCGCGGTCTGAGCCCGCGCTCGGACGCCGCTCGCGCGGCCGCTCGCCGCCCACAGGGCGAATGTTCCGTGCCCTCTGAGCCTCCCCTCTCCTGGGATGCGGCGCAGACCTGTGGTCGCGGCCGCCGCGCCCCCTCGGCCTCATCGGATGCACGCGGTTGGTCGGGGACACCTGTCCCATCGGATCGAGCAGGTGAACCGATCGCGTTTTCCCAGCAGGTCGGGGAGGCGCCCCAGGGCTGCCGTTGGGGGGGCATGCTCGGCCCAGGGGAGGACGCACCGACCCCCAATCGCCCAGTGATCGCCGACAGGGGCCCGACGGCCCCCCCGCACGCTCGGAATCGCGCAGACTCGCTCTCGGAGTTCTACCGCGGGTCTGTCGGCGACGCATCGCCGACTCGAGTTCGAGGCTTTCCCCCCCTGAGCCAGTCCCCCTCTAACGTTGCCTTTCGCCCCCGCCTTCCCAGACATCTGACGTCGTGCTTTTGCCACAGCCGAGCTCCCCAGAGGTCCGGACCCCTTCCCTGGCACCCGTTTCTCCTCTCGAGTCGGTTCTTGACGACCCCGAGGCCTGGCGAGGCCCTCTGGAGGCCGAACTGTAGAGAAGCAGTTTTGTTTATGTTTGAGGCCCTGAGATCCGCAGTTGCGCTAACACTGCAACAACGCAAGAATCGCGACCGCAGCTGGATGGATCTGTGAGGGTCCCAGGGCCCAGAGCCGGGCCACATCGCCCGTCGCGAAAGGATAACGCCAAGATCTCAGGACTATGTCTGGGCTACCCTCCTGGTCTGCTCCGGGCGCTGGACACGCTGGACACAGCTGCGACGAGAGAGGCGCAAGGGCGTCGCGGCGGTCGCCCGGGGCCGGAGCCCGCGCTTGGAGGCCGTCTCCTCCTCCTCCTCCTCCTCTTCTTTCTCCTCCTCCTCCTCCTCCTCCTCTTCCTCCCTCTCTCCCTCCCTCTCTCCCTCCCTCGATCCCTCCATCCCTCCATCCCTCATCCCTCATCCCTCCTCCCTCCTCCCTCCTCCCTCCTCCTCCCTCCTCCCTCCTCTCTCCCCCCTCCTCCCTCCTCCTCTCCTCCCTCCTCCTTCCTCCTCCACCTCCTTCTCCATTTCCTCCTGACTCCTCCTCCTCCTCCTCCTCCTCTCCTCCTCCTCCTCCTCCTCCTCCTCCCGCCTCCTCCCTCCTCCCCTCCCTTCGCCTTCCGCACTTCGTGGTCTCCCCCTTTTCTCTTCCCTTCCCTTACCTCCGCCTCTCCTCCCCCCGCCCCTCTCCCCCATCCAATCTCCTTCCGTCTCTCTATCCCGCCCGCCTTCTCTTCTCTTCTCTTCATCTTGCTCCTCTTGTCCCCTCCTCCCCCTCCCCCTCCCCCTCCTCCTCCTCCTCCACCTCCTCCTCCTCCTCCTCCTCCTCCTCCTCCTCCTCCTCCTCCTCCTCCTCCTCCTCCCCCAGCCGCCTCTGCTCATCTAACCTTCTCTACTCCTCTCTCTCACCTCGCCCTCTCAGGGCCTCTGGACGAGGCAGTAATAGGGCTGGCTGGAAGCGCGATGGCCTGGCTCGCTGCCAGTTTCTCGCGTGTTGCTGCCACGACCATTGGATGCCAGCCTGGAGGGCATTTTTCGCTCCTTCTCTATCGTGTTGCACCCATGAGCCCGATTTTCCATCGATGTGTCTGATACGATGCCATCGACGGGTGCAAATTGCAATCAGCTCGTCTGCTCTCGCCAGCTTCCCCCCTGGCCTGAAGCGCGAAACAGGGGAGGATGAACAGGGTGGGGAGGGAGAATGAGCAGGAGAAGGTAGGAAGGGGGACGCAAAGGGCGTCGAGGCCGAGACGAACGAGAGAAACATTGGCGGGGGGAGAGAATGAGCAGGAGAAGGGAGGAAAGGGGGACGCAACAGGGGAATGAGGAGAGGAAGCTGGCGGGCCCTCGCTGGCTCTCCGTCCACAAGGCCGGATGCAACTTCAGCACGTTTGATCGCGTCCCGTTCGAGCACTCGCTACCGCGCCGTCACCTTACAGGGGGAGGACGAGTGTGTGTGTGTGTGTGTGTGTGCGTGTGTGTGTGTGTGTGTTTGTTCTCTGCCCCCACGCTGCGCGCGAGGCCACGACCGCCCAAAAGTGTGTGTGTGTGTGACAGAGAGAGAGGGAGAGAGAGAGAGAGAGAGATTGTGAACGCGAATGTGAATTTGAATGTGAACATGAGTGTGAGTGTGAAGGTGAGTGCGAATGTGAGTGTGAATGTGTCTGTGACTGCCGCGGTGCTCAACCGTGCGGCACATGCAGCCGCGTCCATCGTACCCCAAGGGCCTCGGGGTAGGTGCTCACAGGTGTCACCCCCGACCTGCTGCTGCTGGCTCTGCTTCCGCTTCGGCCGCGCGAGCGGCCTGGCCCAGCGTGACGGCCTCCTCCCACGAACGCCCGCACAGCTGCAAACCTGTCGGAATCCAGGGCCCTCGGGCCCGATATCCTCCCTGCCCCTGGGCCTGGCCAGAGGCAGCGGCCGCTCCCGCTCTTCTCGCACGTGGCTCCCTCCTCTCCCCCTGCCTCCCGCCGTCGCCCCCGCCGCGGGGCGACAGGTTTCAGTCGAGCCTTTCACCCTGCCGGAGGAAGATTCAAAAATAGTCGAAAATAGTCTGGGGACTAGTTTTTGAGTATTTTTGGGCACCTTTTGGGCATTTTTGGGGTGTGTTTTATTTTTCGTCGCAAACCCCCCTGTAGGGGGACACGCCCGATAGGTACAACCGCGGCTGGAAGTACCACAGGGACGTGAACGCGTGGTTCTGCCTGCAGGAGGGGCCGCGGCGCGCGCCCCCTCTCCGCTCTGCGCGTGCCGGGCCCCCCCCGGCGCCAGTGGCGCCTGGCCCCGAGATCCGGGCGTCTCCGTTCTGTCGGGCCGGGCCCTGGGCGCCAGCCATGCCCAGGCCTGGCTCGCCTCCCCTCGCGCCTCGGCCCAGCGACAGGGCGCCCCCCCTCCAGAGGCGCCCTCGGAGCCCTCCCGCCCCCTCTTCCCTCCTGCAGGGAGGCACTGTCGCCGCCCTGGTCGCAATTGTTTCCGCGGGGCTGTCGACGCGGAAGAGCACTGTGTTCGCCTCATTTCGGGCCCCGGGGCCCTCCCTGATCGATCAGGCTCGACACATGGCGCAGAAGGATGGGGTCCATTTGGGGCTCCAGTCGTGGTTTTCTTCGCGATATTTTCCTTTTTTCGAGGTGTCGGATCTCAGGGTTTCCGCTCTCCGCGCCGGGCCCCCCCCCCGCGCTGTTGGCGCCTGGGAGCCCGCTCGAGCGCGGCGCGCTTCGGCCCCCTCCGGGGCGGCGGCTGGGCCAAACGCGGAGCGTTTCCAGCTGCGCGCAAGCGGGGACAAGGAGGCAGAAGGGAGGCCCAGGACCCCCCAGGCAGATCCAGAAGGGAAGGGGGAGGAGGAGGAAGAAGAGGAGGGCGGGAGGGGGGGAGGGAGGGAGGGAGGGAGGGAGGATGAGGAGCGAGAGGGAGGGATCGGAGGAGGAGCAGGAGGGGGAGGAGCAGCGATGGCGGTGGGGACAAGCTAGACGCGCTCGCGCCATGTCTGGCACCTTACCCCTTCACCCATCACTTCCCGTTGCGTTGTTTTTTCTCTATCCGTGGACTCGTATCATAGCGGATTTGGAACTATCTAAAATTCGCCATCGTGTTAGGTGCAATCGGGAAAAGGCAGCTGCGAACATACGAGGAGGGGAGGAAAAGGAGGAGGAGGAGGAGTTGAAGGAGGAGGAGTTGGATGAGGAGGAGGATGCTGATGCTGATGCTGCTGATGATGACGATGATGTTGATGATGATGCTGCTGATGATGATTATGTTGCTGGTGATGATGATGCTGATGATGCTGATGATGAGTTTGATGCTGCTGATGATGATGCTGATGATGAATGATGACGGTGCTTGTGATGATGCTGATGCTGATGCTGATGCTGATGCTGATGATGGTGATGATGTTGCTGATGATGATGCGGATGATGATGCTGATGCTGATGCTGATGCTGAGGATGCTGATGATGATGATGCTGATGATAATGCTGATGCTGATGGTGCTGATGATGATGATGATGAGGAGGAGGAGGAGGCGGATGAGCAGCGGACAGAGTGGGATGAGCAGGAGAACAAGGGTTGTAATTGGCCGATGAGTTTCGAACGGGCATTCTGTTCGAAGAATCGAAGTCCGGGAGAGTTCGAGGCCTCTGCTTTTAGAAAGTTCAAGTTCGAAATTCCTAGAATCCTGAAGTTTGGAGAACGTTCGGATAAAGTTCGACCGCGAAGATATTCCGAATGTCCGCGGCGCGTGTGAACCTTTCGTGAACTCCCGAATTTGCTCCGAGCTTTTTCCGAGCTTGTTCACATTTCCTTCCAAATGTTACCAAACTTTGAAACGGAGTTCGAACTTTCCTCAATGTTTAAAGCGTCCAAACTTTTTACAAGTCTCCCTGACCTTCTGAAGTTGCTCTCCCTGTATTCCGAACTCGAACTTCTAACCTTCGCTCCGCCAGAGCCCAAGGCCAAAGTTCAGGAAAGCCCAGTTCTTCCCCCATCAGCCACTACAAGACAACGGGAATGCGGAGAATGGGACAGGAGGGGGGGTCAGCGATAAGAAAGAACTTGGATCAAGGGTGAGAGCGCCAATCTGAACGATGGGAGCAAAGCCGCAACCCGAACATCTTGCCCACGCTGCAGCGGGAGTACCATTTTGGAAGGACCGAGAACGTTCGAATTGTAACAGCGTAAGACAGACGAATTCGGCACCATCCTATACAGAAGAAGCAGTACGCGGAGGGGGTCACGCCACTCCCAAGCAGTCTGCGGTGGAGAGTGGAGTAGTATTAAGTTGGGTCTGTCCCTCTACAGGGGGAATAGTCCAACATAGTCAAACATAGCCTGGGGACTTGGGATTTGTCCATTTTTGATTTTTTGTTTAGGTTTTTTCCCAACCCTCCTGTGTTGGGTACTCGTTTTGAATAGAGCACTGCGGTCTCCACCTTCCTTCCTTCCTTCCTTCCTTCCTTCCTTCCTTCCTTCCTTCCTTCCTTCCCGCCTCCTCCCGCCTGCGGTCGCCATCCCTGGGTGGCTGCGATCTGTGAAACTGTCGTCACTTTCGAGGGCTGCTGGGGGGCCCAGCGGAGTGACGTCCTACGGGGATTCAGATTAGACCTCGCCATCCCTGGGGGGCTGCGATCTGTGAAACTGTCGCCACTTTCGAGGCCGCTGGGGGGCCCAGCGGAGTGACGTACGGGGATTCAGATTAGACCTCGCCATCCCTGGGGGGCTGCGATCTGTGAAACTGTCGCCACTTTCGAGGCCTGCTGGGGGGCCCAGCAACGGGGATTCAGATTAGACCTCGCCATCCCTGGGGGGCTGCGATCTGTGAAACTGTCGCCACTTTCGAGGCCTGCTGGGGGGCCCAGCACAGTGACCCACCGCGGATTCAAATTAGACCTCGCCATCCCTGGGGGGCTGCGATCTGTGAAACTGTCGCCACTTTCGAGGCCTGCTGGGGGGCCCAGCACAGTGGGTACCCACGGGGATCAAATTAGACCTCGCCATCCCTGGGGGGCTGCGATCTGTGAAACTGTCGCCACTTTCGAGGCCTGCTGGGGGGCCCAGCACAGTGACGCCCTACGGGGATTCAGATTAGACCTCGCCATCCCTGGGGGGCTGCGATCTGTGAAACTGTCGCCACTTTCGAGGCTGCTGGGGGGCCCAGTGGAGGAGTGACGTCCTACGGGGATTCAGATTAGACCTCGCCATCCTGGGGGGCTGCGATCTGTGAAACTGTCGCCACTTTCGAGGGCTGCTGGGGGGCCCAGCGGAGTGACGCCCTACGGGGATTCAGATTAGACCTCGCCATCCCTGGGGGGCTGCGATCTGTGAAACTGTCGCCACTTTCGAGGGCTGCTGGGGGGCCCAGCGGAGTGACGCCCTACGGGGATCAGATTAGACCTCGCCATCCCTGGGGGGCTGCGATCTGTGAAACTGTCGCCACTTTCGAGGGCTGCTGGGGGGCCCAGCGGAGTGACGCCCTACGGGGATTCAGATTAGACCTCGCCATCCCTGGGGGGCTGCGATCTGTGAAACTGTCGCCACTTTCGAGGGCTGCTGGGGGGCCCACGGAGTGACGCCCTACGGGGATCAGATTAGACCTCGCCATGGGGGGCTGCGATCTGTGAAACTGTCGCCACTTTCGAGGGCTGCTGGGGGCCCAGCGGAGTGACGCCCTACGGGGATTCAGATTAGACCTCGCCATCCCTGGGGGGCTGCGATCTGTGAAACTGTCGCCACTTTCGAGGGCTGCTGGGGGGCCCAGCGGAGTGACGCCCTACGGGGATTCAGATTAGACCTCGCAGGCGCTGGGGGGCTACGATCTGTGAAACTGTCGCCACTTTCGAGGGCTTCTGGGGGGCCCAGCACAGTGGGCACCCACGGCGGATTCAAATGTGACCTCGCCATCCCTGGGGGGCTGCGATCTGTGAAACTGTCGCCACTTTCGAGGCCTGCTGGGGGGCCCAGCACAGTGGGTACCCACGGCGGATTCAAATGGGACCTCGCCATCCCTGGGGGGCTGCGATCTGTGAAACTGTCGCCACTTTCGAGGGCTGCTGGGGGGCCCAGCACAGTGGGTACTCACGGCGGATTCAAATAGGACCTCGCCATCCCTGGGGGGCTGCGATCTGTGAAAGTGTCGCCACTTTCGAGGGCTTCTGGGGGGCCCAGCACAGTGGGTACTCA